CTTGGGCAAAAGCCTCGAGTGTGTGTATCAATCCGTGAAGCTGTGAAGCCTCGGTTAGATCCACGGTTTTGGACTCCACTGGTCCTCCGGGCAGCCTTCTGTGGATAGCTACGCTGGGACGGAAATGAGCCATTGGATGATACACAGTTTAGTGTTGGTTGCACTTTGGCAAACGCTGCATTTTAACGGGGCTCTATGTGCTCCTCTAGATGAGTCTTTGTGGCCGGTGCATTAGTAACGTAAACACAAGATGCACTTACTGCACAATACCACGTTTAGCAAGACTTACCTGTATGCATCCGTGAGAGGTCCATTCCACACCTTGTTGGAGGTTCATCCGTGCACTGAGATGTAATTCGAAACCTGGAGATAGGCGCTGGTGTGACTTACACACCTTAGCAATGGGCGTAGTAGAGTTGAGTTGCCAACTAAAATAAGCCGTAATGCATTTAAACCACGGAAATGAAGGAATACCTCCGGCGGTGTCGAACTTCACAGCAGCGTCCAGTGTTGGTGTGGCTACCAAATAAGTTACTTTACAAGGTGTGTGTAGCAGAGAAATAAAAGAATAACGCTAGGTTGTGTATACAATAACAAGGAGGTCAGATGGAACAGACTCACAAATAATTGTTCTGTTTTAAATAGTTCGTCATTGGCCCAGGTCAGCGAATACACAATTGCCCAATCATGGTTGTCAGGGGTCCTCTTCTGAACGGTTCCCACATATAATGAAACCCGAAAATAGTCGTATATATTTTGACAACAGAGTTAGCTCATGAGACTAGCGAGTGACCAACGTAAGCGCGAGCGAAATCAGAAGGGAGATTCGAAGCACGTGAGCACGTTTGTGTTGCGTGAAATTGTCGAAGTGCGCCTTTTTATAGTTTTTCGTATTCAAACAAAACGGTTGTGCAATTGACAAAATACCTAATGCCATAATAGAGGCAAAATGAAGGCACAAAACATCACACCTGCAATGGTTTGCAACCGGGAGCAAGCGAAAACACAAACAACTTCAGGATGTACGTATATCCACGGATTAATGACCAAGATAATTTAATATACCCAAAATCTTCTATTTATCCGACAGCTTTTGTTTTAATTTGTAGTTGGGCATTTGCGGGCTCTTAAATTTATATGATAAAAATAAACTGCATGTTTTCCGCCCAACTAGGTCTGTAATTGGCTTATTTTTCACCACGCTTTTTCACGCGGCTCTTTGAAAGGTTGGGCGCCATCTAAGGTCAAAACCGTCTTGACTGGATCTGGTAGTTTAGGGAGGTTTGATGTTGGAGATATGTTCTATTTGTTGATCCATCTGGAGTACGGAATAGAGGAACATTTTGGGAGGTAGAATTTTCAATTATTTCACTTGATCTGGACTTGCAATTGAGTGGATGAATTCGCCTGAATAAAAGACAAATGCTGTAGCACCAATGGATTGAAGGCATTCTACATTTGTCGCGGAGTCCAGTGAAGCGTGGTGTTCAAACGCACACAGTTTCACTTTATTATTCAGCCATCAATTTCATTCACCGATTACCCTTTAGTTTCCGGTGTACAATGTTGCTGTGGAGCTTTGAATAGCACGGTTACCGTTCTTGAGCGTCAGCCTGTTCCTGCGGACTTGGAGGCGAATGTGGGTGATTTCTTTACCGGCGACTTTTCTGACCAATGGCCTCTCAGGGTCAATTCGGGTGACGTGCCGAGAGCTGGTTTCGCTCCCGATGATTGCCCCATTTCTTGACGATTCAGGATTGAAAACAGAATTCAACGGGGATTTCAGCTGTAACTGTGACACAGCACCGGATGTTATCTCTGAATTATCCTTCGACTGTAACGAACTGTATTCGGAAGTGTGTAGCAATGATTCCTATGGCGACTTATTTTTGATGGACTCCAATGATTTACTTGGTGTGAGAGAAGAAGTCGTTGGTGACGAGAAGGGCGATCACAATACATTAGTTCCAGACGGCGACGCAGACCTTTGCACTCTCCGATACGCTTGCAGCGGATATGATAAACATGGTAAGCTTCTTTAAGGTTGATTTCAAACAGTATTGTTGGTGTCAAGGCATTGGGACCACTGGCACTGGTGTTGAGAACGTCACCGGTGCCACCAGATTGTTGCAATTTAGGCACAGGCATTTTCACGCCAGTTTCGTTCGGGTAAAAAAGAAAGGCGGATGCGCGAATAAAAGGTGCACGGATAGTAAATCTTTAGATGCCGTTAGAGAACATTGTTCCCTAACGGGTGCAAAATTGCGCAGTTCAGTTACCACAGAACTAGTCCGTACATAGGGCTTCCGCACTGTCGAGGCGAAAAGCAGAAAAGCCATTACCGTCTAAAGTGCGAAATGAACAGCAGGTTCACTCCGGTTGGCTTCATAGGGCATCGTGCACTCCAAGAATAGAAACTAGCTGTTTGTGTGTGAGGACTTAATTATCTGAAACTCGAGGTTCTCCAGGGTATGGGCGTCCAGGCCAAGGAGCCACGAGAAAACCCGCATTCAGATGGTCTGTGGACTCTGTGAAACCAGGAGTGGCCAGTCGTGATGGACCAGGAGACAGGCAGTGTACAAGGGTAGTAGAAGGGTGCTGGAAGCAACAATAATCTTAAATGGACCCTATAGCTAGCTGCCTCGCTCGACCTGTACAGTCACAGAAATTTCGGAGCCAGTCTTCACTCCTTGGTGTCTGGGTGCCTCCTGCTTTCGCATTTTGATGCAGTTTGTACTGCAGGTCGCTCTCGCTCGTCCACTGGCTTCATTTTAAATTGACGCATCAATTCAGTCAGTATATCGGCCACGAATCATGTACCAAGGATACGTTTGTCCCAGCTGCTGCAGTTTCGGTCATTAGAAAACGGGAAAACAGGAGAGATATGGCCAGGTTTTAAGAGATCATAGCGTAATCAGTTAGTAAATGAGCTGCTAAACATTGAGGGTTGTAGTTAGATGCAGAACGCCACTGATTTGGAGGCTGAGCCACGTACCACTATCATTTGGCATTGAGAAGTTAAGTTCCGAGTCCCCCCCATGAGGCCGCCGCTAGCACGCCGACTAAATGTACTAGTTTTTGCCTCCGTACTTCGTTGCCAAATCACAGACTGTCGTCTGTAGGCGGTTTCAACTCCTAAGGCTGGAAAAAGCTCTGTTAGTTGGATGGTCCTCCGACAAGATAAGTACACGTACCAATAAATAGTACCAATAATAATCGCTTGGCTGTAGCATCGGTGCATCGCGACCCTACCGACGTAAGGCCAAAATACCGCCAGATTTCCTAAGCTAGACAGGAGCAACCGAGGTGCTGATGTGTTCGGACAACCTGTCGTCTGGCGTTCGCGCGTTAACTAGTGAGCTATCTGGGGCTGAAGCGAAGTACATATGCTAACCGGCGTATTCTCTGAAACGTGAACAGCTAATTGCAGACCGGTTCCTTTTTTGAACCCACCTGACATATCTCAGCTCTTCAAATTCGCTGTTCTTACCACACCTGCCCAACCTTTCCCCGACACCGATCGTCAAACGCTGGGAGGCCACGTTTCTGATTCAAAGTAATATGGATCGCACCGCGACGGTGCATACTCTGTCCTTGGCATGCGTACTGATATCACGCCATAGATATCCGAGGTTGGCAAAGGCTGCCCTAACCTCGAAGAATCGAAAAGAGATCCTATCCTCAGCCAGTTCATCGGAACTCCTACAACTGCCCAGGTAAATAATAAATGGTAGAATGAAATGCTACTATAATAAATAGCAAATAAATGGTAGATAATAATTCGTTGGTCTGCAAGTATGATGTTGTTGTTTGCTCCTACACAGCCCTATAGCGGTGGTTCACATTTTGCAACTGTGAATCCAGTACCAAACTGTGCAGGGAACCATTTAGATAATTTAGATTGACTTACATCTGAGGGCAGTATCATCCGTATGCCTTCGAGCGAACGCCCCGGGAGCATTTCGATCCCGGAGGTTTCAGAGGCAGCCAGACAAGTTCAAAGCAACACGTCAATAACAAAGTTGGGGAGGATGATGAGGAAGACAGCCTTGTGATGTGGTAAACTCCGGCAAATGGCTGTTACCCGTACGCACATCCGTAAAGTGGCTTACCGTGCTCCTTGGTCGCCAGGAGCCGCCATAGTTTCTGACTATCTGCAGACTTCAAAGCAGCCTTCAGATCAAGAAGAATGACCGCCATTGAACGCTTAAAAGATTTTTTTTCGTTTGGAAGCTTGTTCTTAAGTAATACTATGGCAAATACGTCCTCGTTCAGGGTAGAATGAAGTTTGGGTCCCACAAATCTCCCACGGTATTCAACAAAACCGTACAAATACCTTGTATGTTACGGCTACCAGTCTGATGCCGTGACGTTTTCCACATAGCTTGCCTGTGCCATTTTTTTGGATGTCGGAGTCTTGCTCGAGACACCCCATTCCACTGGTATCCCGTTTCCGTTCTAAATCGGAGCGGTATCACCAGACTGCTCATGATGACTTCATCACCCTTGAAAAGTGCGCGGTGCACAGTAAATTTATTTTGAGTTGCATTGGGCTCTTGGTAGGCTTAAATTGTATTTACTCCTATTGTACAATTCACCGGTTTTCTCGACCAACCGTTGGGCGACTAAAATACGAAAGATTTAGAGCCGATCTTTTTTTAACCCGTCTTTCCTCGGGAAGGCGCTCCTATAAATGTGGACTTGCTAGTTGGCTGGAGGAAACGCCTTACTGTTTTCCACATTCCGGTCGCGGAGGACAGTACGACATGACCTCCGGACCTCTCGTATTACGACTATTCTCATCACAAGGCCGTGCTGTTTTTCATGTTGCTCTCCCATCTTGCCTTCCTGACATGATTCGTCATCATCGTCAGCTGTAATAACCGCGTACTTGTCGTACAGTGGTCGAAGCTGCCACAGTTTCGTTCACCGATGATTCAAGGAGGTGGGGTAGGTAGCTGCGCATGGTTGCATCTTGTGGAATGGAACTTTAATGGGTTTATTGTGGCACCTAAGTCTGTTTACAACTCAATCTAGCCGCTTTCGGTGGGGATGCCCATCGCAAACGCGAATTCTATACCCAAGTGCAATTGTCAAGCTGAATTGAAAATAGCTCACTTGTAGTGCCCTTTCGGTGCGTAGCTACCGTGCAACCCGAATTAACCACGAGGGCTGAAATACCGCCAGTTTGCCTGAGCCTAGGCAGGGCAGTCGGGATGCAGAGGTTGGGTTTGAGCCACGGACCGTTCAGCAACTTCGTGCCTTAACCATAACCATCTAGAGTTCTGCCGAGCTAACTATCCTCTCCGCTTCAAGTAGTCCACTTCTGATGATCTAGAGGCTGCCGCGATAAGCCATGCAGGGATCGGCATCGTTATTTATTTTAATTCCAAACGACTTCCCCTTGGGAAAAGGCTAATCAGCTTGAAAAATGCCTCTGATATGTGCCGCCCAGGCGCAGCGATCCGCTGCCAGATTTACACTGCGCGGTCCACTATCGACCCTAGCGAAGGACTCCGTAAACCGTGTGAATACCAGGTCGCTTCACACCGCTGTTCCTCGCACTGAGCCAAGTTTCCAGTTGTCCTCGAAGGTATTCTTGACATGGTGTATGGATTAAAGTTAGTTTTGTGGTTTCAGCATCGTTCCTGTGCATCGGTTGTCGAAACCATTCAATCATCGCCACCGAAGGGGGCTTAGGAGGAGGCGTGGAAGGTCATGGTAACGTTTTCCAGACCTTATCATTGGACATTTAGATAGCCAAGTCTTACTGTACGTCGGAGGTATCAATGGTCAAAAACCTGCTTTTGGCTATTGTGTGTTCATAGTTGCCATGTTTCATGGGGGTAAATCAAGGCTTGATAGATGGCTGCATTGAGGACCCGGGTCTTCGGGCGTAACCTAATCTGTTGCTTTCCACAAGTCGGTGTTCAGCTGCATAAAGTTTTACTGGGCACCACCAACAAACCTTTAATTCTTTTAGTTTGTCCTTCGGGTAAAATGGTGGAGCCAAGTTGTTATCAGTCGACAGCCCGATTGGTTGTTCCACCTCAGCTGAGCAAGTACGTTCATGCAGATTGGGAAGAACTTGGTCTTCGACTTGTTAATTTTCAGTCTCGCGGGTGTAGTGTGGTGAGCTAGATTATTCAGCACACATTGAGGTTATTCTACGGCACCACCCAATAGCATTATGTCATCAGATTATTCGGAGTTATGCAGTTTTGGCGGTCTAACTGGACGCCATTTTTCGTGCAGTTGACCAATCGATGGCGGAACTATAGGGTACATGTGAAAGTGGACAGCCTTGTGGACTCTCACGAAAAGTCACTCGACCATCCAAAAGAGATTACATCTCATCCTATTTGGATATGGCATAAGACGTGGGATGCACCTTTGAGGCTTGTGACTGTATATTTCCCCCTAACTGCCACCGAGTCACCAGGTGACAGTACTAGCTGTGCTCTAGGATGAAAACAAAGCTCTCAGTCACCGTTTATCTGATTTGTTCAGATCGATTTCAGACAGATGACGATAGTAGGTAATGGTGTCTGTTTTCAAATAAGGGACTTACACTCTACAATAATGAAAGTGCGACTAACCTATTCCCAGATGTAACGAGTCTCTTGGTATCATTTGTGCCTCGTGGCCTTATGATGACCACTGACTCCAGAACAACAAGCAGGATTTCGGTCTGGTAGTGGTTGCGTTGCGTCAAATGCTAGAACGACGCCGTATGTATAATCGACCCATAACTTTGATGTTCTTGGATTGCCGAGGTTGACCAATGTGACACTTCGTAAGCCTGCAAATATACTAATTTCTTATCATTTTCAGATTTGCGAGTGAGTCTAGGAAGCGCCCCACAAAAATGGTGTCTGGCAGGGACGCCCAGTTTCCGTTCCTATTCGCATATCGGTCGGAAACATGCAGAGTAGATCATCCTCGACCAAAGTCGTCCTTCCTCCTGCATACACTCACATGGTGTAAGGTCGTGCCGTTGGGCATGCAATCACCTAACAGGCCGGGTTTTGATCACATAGTGGTTGATTTGTTCGCCGAGCTATCATCTGATCAACCAGCAGTAAACACACCCGAGCTACTTATATTTCGACAAATTTACAACTTACCACGCCACTTCAACTCCAGAAAGACGTACTCGAGATTGCGGACTGCTTCACCTATTTTTGCAGGTGTGTGAGCTGAGGCTTCGGTCTTACAGGTGGAGTTAATGCACAGCTATCTAAGTCTTGGGTCACATATTCTAATTTGGGACACCTGTGGGTGTATGTGGCGTCTTAGACCTGAAGGATATAGCCGTTGTCTCCGAACCTCGGTTCGTCTGTTCCGGTACCAACCAATCCACAATGAGGCAACTTGAAAGCGGTCTGATTTTACAGCAGGGACTTCAGTCAAGGAGTATGTCCGGTCCCAAAGGCTGTGGTTGTCTGCGTGGTTGCTGTCGCATGTTAACAGCCATCTGTCGAAACAGTGCTGTGTCTGTCTCCACTTCAGTGACAAGCAGAGAAACGGCCAACCTCTGACCTGGCATGGGGTATAAGAGTGATTTCTGATCCTCCGGAATGTCATCCTCCTGCTCCCTCCGGGTGGCGTGGCAGCTAGTCACCGAAAAAGGTGCTGTGGCTGCACGGTTGTTATTATTATTATTATTATTACACTCTTGCCGTACAAGTTACTAGATGCAGGTATTTCGATCTGAGGGGATGGGGATCGCGTTGAACTGTAAAGGGTTTAAACTTGGGTGTTGTCCTGATTCGCCAGTTACTGCTCGGCCACGGGACATCCGTGCCCTCGTGCATCCTTCTGTTGGCGTGGCAGCTAGGCACCGGAAGGGTGCTACAGCTGAACGGTTTATTTTTTCCAGTATAGTTCAATGGGTCACGGAAGCACGCAAATGGTGATCTCACGGTGAAGTCAAATTTCTTCGTGGTGGAGTCCAGTCTCTTATTGACCAGTCCAGTCTCTTCGCAAAAGAACCGTAATATCTCAGGGTGGCATGGTAGTAATGCACCGACGGGTTGTCACAGTTCATTTACTGCTATAAGCACCCGATTTGCTTATAGCTCCAACACTCAAAAGCTGACCGCATTACAGTTATTGGCTTTGGTTAGCCGCCATTTCTTTCAGTGTCCCCAGCCAAGCACAGGGAGGGTTGCTTGTGCCCCATTCTGGAAGGTAAACAGTGCCAATAGTACTCAGGCATTTCGTTACATATTTGAACCCATTTACCGAGTTAAATTTTATCCCCCTCTAGGTTTCCTCCATTGTGAATTAGGCATTGAGAATCACGTTCCCATTTAGCGGCAACTTGACTTGCGTATTACACGGCTCTAGCCAATTTGGCTTGCCATACTAGATGCATTCCTTGAGTGAATTAGCCTCGCTTCACCAAAGACTGGTTTCCTGATCTCATCGCGGATCCACTAATTCCAGCTATAGTTCTGAGAAGCCGGTGATCAATAGCCGGAGATATCAGATCATCCACCCGAAGCGACCGGGTCTCGCAGGCTTAAAATATTACGGCCCACGATGTAGTCTGATACATTCCTTGAGACCCAGTGGTGTCTTTTTGATGCCACAAATGGCGCAACTTGTGAACGCGATTTTGGTCTTCGACGTTCCTGTATGGACACACTATCGTCGGAGCTGATGCGCACCGGGTTTCACAAATTCCAGTACCTCTTAGTGGGGGCGAGATGGCTCAGTAGTTGGATCGCGAATTTACTGACCTCCGCATCCCGACTTTGTTTACGTTTGGGTAACCTGGGAGTATCCCAGCGCTTTTGGTTACTTCGGGTGGCACTGAAGCTAGTCGTCGAAGGGGTGTTACAGCTGAACGATTATTTTTTATTTTTACCTCTCTGTGACCTCGAAAACATTCACACACGTAAGCCCCGCTCTATGACTTTGCACCTTGTGAGTGTGATGCACTCGTTCAGTTGTAGCACCCCTTCGGTGCATAGCTGCTATGCTAACGGGAGGAGACACGCGGGCTGGGATACTGCCAGTTTTTTAAGCCTTAGACGGCAGCAGTCGAGCTGCTAAAGTTGCGTTCGAACCATGGTCCGTAAGCTAGCACCTAACCACGGAGCCCAGTGACGCAATACCAACGCTTGTAGGGAGACATTTTTAGATTCCCCCATTTACTCATGTGCTCAATTACGGGACTAAAACAGCGCACGCTATTCGCAAACTTATGGGGCATGCCATGCTGTACAAGTTCATTAATTTGAGCGAAACCGATCGACGGAACCGAACAAATTCTTGAGGTCGACGATCACAACGATTGTGGGGTGACCACACGAATTTGTTGCTCTAGCACTTCCCTAAGTGCGAATTAATCACACTGCTGTCCAGCGGCTCCTGCTCGAACTGTTTAGACTTCAACCACCAGCCGGGAGCTCCCGAAACCCAATCGTCTTGGCGATTCGTGAGGTGCATGCCATGCTGTACAAGTTCATTAATTTGAGCGAAACCGATCGACGGAACCGAACAAATTCTTGAGGTCGACGATCACAACGATTGTGGGGTGACCACACGAATTTGTTGCTCTAGCACTTCCCTAAGTGCGAATTAATCACACTGCTGTCCAGCGGCTCCTGCTCGAACTGTTTAGACTTCAACCACCAGCCGGGAGCTCCCGAAACCCAATCGTCTTGGCGATTCGTGAGGTGCACGCCGCTATTCGTTCGCAATAAGGATGAAACAGCTGGACAGTGCTTTTCAGCTTTTCAGCACAGGTTGGTTTCACTTACAGGACGAATTGTCGATTGCAGCTTCCAATTTTCTCACATCATGCATCTCTGAGGTGGAAATTTCCGTCAACAGTGATAGTTTCTTCAGTTGCTTGCGCTGTGAATATGTTTCTTGTTGAGGTATTCAGATGGGTCTCAATAGGTAGTTTTCTTTGAACCCGTTGAACATCTTTGTCCTCCCGCAACTTCGTTGTGCTTGGGGTCAACTTTTGATGTGCGTACATAAATATAATCAAACTCTTACTAGTGTTACGTACAACTTTTCGCTGCTAACCTTTGCGATTAACAGCTGCGCTTAAATGCGTTCTGATACGAATTCGTAGGTATGGCAACCCCCCATATTATGATAGGTTCACGACTAGCTAGAATGAACCCCTAAGAAACTACTTGATGTGTCCTCTCGAGGATACTCTTTGTTCTCATGTTCTGTTTTTTCCCAGAACCCGATGCTTCCTCTAACCACTTACATCCAACCGGTGCCCTCCCTCCAGTGTTGATGAAGAACGAGCCACAGGATCATTTGTTTCGTGACATGGGTCTTTCAGCCTTTGTGGATACACCTAGGCCTTTTACACAACGGAGCAAACACAACTGCGTAGGGGGTGCGGGTCTTGAATATCCTTTTGAGGATCGTAGCACAAGATTAGTTTCGCGCCGTTTGAAGATTGATGATGACGAGTTTGTCGGTGCAAACGGCATCTCCGCTTCTGAAGCCTCAGTATCCGAGACGACAAGAAAATCACGCGACGGAGCCCGTGAACTGAAGGAATCGATGGCCACTCTCAGCAGAATGAAGAAACCAAGTGGCCAGTCCTCTGCACAAAGTCGCTCCCTTCGGCCCAAGGTGCATTCGTACCCCGTTGTCCCTTTCACCACTCCCGCAATGAGAGGACCCTTACCCCCTAGCTCTCAGCGTCATCTTTCATTCGTTACGGTTCCCCGTCCACAGCATAGAATACCGGCCAGTTCCAACATGAATGCTAGTCGATACAGACGTCCCAGACATCTTTCTATCCGTTCAGGAGCTGCCATACTACGCCCCAAGGGTACCTCAACTAGAGGGGTCAACAAAACCACATATTCCACGCAGTTACGTACAACAGGGTCACAGATTCCCCCTAACTCCTTTTCATCGTTCTCTCCACCTGTGTCTCCAAAGTCTAACAATCCAATTGCATCCACGGGTGCTTCAGCAGCACCAATGGCGAGCCTCCCGTGGCTTCAACAACTGACTGTGATCAATTCGAAATCGGTGTTGCCGCTTAGAAACAACCCAACTACTTTGCTTTATACAACGTATCCGGCGGCTAACATCGCCGCAGCTAACAAGACCAGATTCTTGGGTGAGTGTATGTTGCTCTTGTCCGTCGTAAGCTGTCTAAACGCAACCCGGACCTCCTGTTTTTAAACCCTTCGCATTCCAATTTGACATGTTCCTGGTCATGGTTGTCCTCCGCTTCTATTTACGTGTCCAGTCTTTTGCACATCTATCGTGTCGAACGCCAAACCGTCCTTGAATAGTTCTATTCCTTGATGTAGTCTCTATGGCGCACCACCATGGACTCGTAATCGGAATAAATAAGAGATAACCTAACAGCTGAATCAGATTAGCTCTCAGCAAACTCAGCTGCGCTGGTCACTGCCGTCTTCCTGGATGGGGACCCCGAGACGGGCCACATCAATGGCTAGAGACATTATCAGACATGGCCCAGTCGCGCCCTCAATGGCGCTCATGCATCAAAGCTATTGCCTTTAATGCATAGCTCCTTTTCCACCCCCCCGCTTGACAACCCACTGACAGTGCTGGATTTATGCACCAATTTACCAGCTCGCGCGTGCAATGCGCAGCTAGCTAGCTACCTACCCCTAATCATCGGTGAACGAAACTGTGGCAGCTACAACCAGTGTACGACCAGTACGCGGTTCTTACAGCTGACAATGATGATGATGATGATGAGCTTCCGAACTGGTTATTTAGTACGTAGTTCATTGTTCTGAGTCGGATTTAAGATATAGGCACGTGTGTTTGTCAACCACCCTGCAAGTATGGTCTCATTTCCCTGATACATCCACTGCCACACAGGAGCAGGTGCGCTGTTTCTATTCTCTCAATGTATTAGTAGGCCGGATTTTTCGTATTTTTTTTTATACTAAAGATGACCATGAGCGTAAATAGGAAATCTTATTCAGAGAACACCATGACAATGAATCGCATAGTTTCTCCTCTGAACTCATGACAGAGGAGGCACACGTTTGCCACAGGCCGTTGTGTAACGTGTGTTCAAAACGGGTAGTTACGCTACTAATTGTATCATTTATCACGTGGGAGGTTAACAATCCATTCTTAACAGATTACAATTTGTTTTTGCGTCATGCAAAACAGAGTGGAACGTTTTCTTCGAGTGTACTCAGCTGCTCACTACCATTTGACAATAAGGCCTTTCAAAAAAGCTCATTAAAACTCATGAAATTATTCGCCACATGTGTTCGGCTGTGATGGATTGGTCATCACAACCATGTATATCAACTGGTAGAAGAATCCAGATTTATTTCCACTGTTTTCCTCAGACAGAGCTGCAGGACTCGATGGGTGACACTACCGATTTAGGCTTTGATCTCTACCGAGGTGTGAGCTGAGGTTGGGTACCTAGGCCTGTTTTTAGAGCTGTCATGTACCCTCGCTATCCAAGGCATATGAAACGCTCAGTCTGGTATGTATCATCTCCGGTATTACCTTTCTGGGTTGTCTTCCGTGGGCACTTGTTCGCTAAACTATGCGTAGCCATCGACCCACTGTTTGACACATGAAGCAGAGTATTCCGTGTCCATCAGCTCGTTTCAGCAACAGTTCTTACGCCGGCACAGGATATCGGCAATACGACTTTCACGCGCGAAGATATCTGGTCATTAGGCCTTGGTCTACATCGCCTCCTGTTGGTAAAACTGTAGATGGGATGACGAAAAGCTGCCCAACAAACGGGCTAGGACGGTTGGTTGAAGCTTATTGCAAGCACGCTTTGGTCGCTGCTAGATCTGTAGTTCAAAGTTATAAGTTTTCTGGCATGAATAGGTCATAGGAGGCCTTGAGTGAAATCGTCACGTATGCTAGACAACCAGACATGGGTTCAAATCTTGTAGGAATGTGCGACCAGCCTTGTTGTGCATACCACCAATGGTGAATCACCTATGCACACTTTCTGGCGCACTGTGTACACGGTAATGCAACGGAGGCCTATCCTAAAGGAGACTGGCCATCCCGTGGCGTTTGTGGCGAACATTCTTCCGCTAGATTTGTAGAGGGGGACTTCTACACCTCTATGGAAAGCGTTCAACTTCCTTTCCCCCCTCGGAGTGGAGAAAAGCCATGAACCCGGTGGTTTGTAGGAAAATGCACCAAAAAGATACGTTTCAAAACAGATTATGGCAATTTAGACGGCATCAGTTTGAGACGCAAGCCTCCTGAGCTGCTCATGTTCAGTTCAACTAACGGAACAAATTCAAACAAATCTTTTCGCTACCATTTTCTAAGCTCACGAACTAACATTCCTTCGCAGTTATTACTCCTGAACAACCTTGCTGTAGGCGGTTGTCGTATAATATTTATTCCTCGCTTACCGGTTTTAGGGAGGGGGGGGGAGAGATGACCGAAGTGGTTAGAGCGCGAATTTACTGACTGGAAGGTCCGTGGTTCGAATCCGACCTCCGCCACTCGACTTCCCCTGTCTAGGCTTGGGCAACCTGGCAGTATCCCAGCCCTCATGCTTCCTCCGGGTGGAATGGCAGTTAGGCACCGAAAGGGCTGAAAGAGTATAGTAGTAATACTGGTTGTCATACAATATTCAAGTGTGTTTGTATCAAAGACGATCGAAAACCAGATGCCGTCACATAAGTGGAGACTCTTCAACAGCTCACTACTGTTTTCGCCCTTTCGGGGCTGCTGGTCAAGACTGGCAGCTGTTAAGATGGATGGGTTACGAGAATTTGGGTCGGGTTAAGCCTTAGACTACTTACCACTTGATTAACAGTGACACACATACATTCGTCAACTCTGTTTACTTAAAACTGCCTTCCATGAACATTCGATGAAAACGGTACACGACCAGATATGGGTTCAAAACGGCTTTACTAGCCTGCAGTCCGCCCGCGTGTGCGCCGCTGGTTAGCCACCTTGTGAATAATTTGCAATACCTGTGGTGTTTTGGTTTTTGTCGCCTTCCCTGACTGATAATGACGTCCATTTCTTCAATTCTTTATCTTGGGCGTCGTACTGAGTGTGCTTGACTAATTGACGGTGGAGTTCTGTAGTTCCTAACCGTTTTTTCATCGTTTTTGGGATTTTACAGGTAGAACTGGTCTATACTTGTCGAACGGCAGTACCAGAGTGAACTTCCCGGCCCAGTTAGACTCTGCCGTGAGTACGTCTAAATTGGCCTCGGTCGTAGCCGCGGCGTTCAGCACCTCTATCCAGCGTCCTCATAATTGCACTCATCGCCGAACCGTTGCATGTCCGCAGCTAGGCTGTGGAAAAACGTTCCGAGACACGTCTTCCATGCGCAAACATCTCCACACACATGGTCCCCGTGTACACATCTGTGCGGAATGTGGCAAAGCGTTTGTGGAATCTAGCAAGCTGAAACGCCATCAGTTGGTTCATACGGGGGAGAAGCCTTACCAGTGCACGTTTGAGGTAATTCTTGCTCGCCCGACTTTTTCTTGTTAACATTACTCACTTCCGTCAGGTGCTTGTGTTCCAAAGCTCCGATCTTTGGAACGAACCCTAATCTGTACTCCAACTTTCCACATTTTGAGGCCTGAACGGCCGGACACTAGCTCACTGGTCGAGCTTACAATGAGTTGCACTTCGGGTCTTCTATGAGTGAACTGGGCGATCTGCTTTTGATTTTATTGTTATACTTGAAGCCAATCCAACCAAGCTTCCACTTTTCCAAAGGCTTCTTTCTGTGAATTTTTACCTTTGTTTCTAGAATTTTACCCTATAACTAAACTAACCCTGAAGCCATGTGGGTCTTCCTCTGTAAGATTATCCAAAGGAGAGAACCTGTCATTGTCCTGTCATCATCATCCTCATCAGAGACCGTAACGTCAGTGTTGTTACTCCATTGTTCCCTTGCCATGGACTGTACTGTTGCTAGCATGTCCAGCCTTGTACCGCAACCGGGGTTTTGGCCCGAAAACGTGACCGGTGACGTGGCAGATGACTCCCGGAATACTACCACAACGACAGTGGCTCTCATGGAACAAGCAGCTATAGATTTCCTAACCTGCAGTCTGAAGGGCTAGGAAGCTGTTTTGGTAGAAACCCTGTCCAACTCGGTCTACGCTACACCGGTGAAATAATAGCAACTCTGACTACAATCGACTACGATGGCTCGGTCATGTGCCACGTATGCCGAAACACCGTCTACCGAGACAAGCGTTGTTCTCCGTGCCTCCTTGAGGTTGGCGCAAACCGCGAGGTGGATCACACATGCCTCGGCAGAAAGGCGTGAGGGAGATGACGGAGAGTTTGGGTGTTGTTGGTGTTGTGCGACTTCCAGAATGGGGTCCCCGTGACCCCGTCCGTGCTTGACTGGAGACGTTGCAAGAAACGGCGGCTAATCGATGTCAGTGGCGTTGATGCTGTCATTTTCTTTCCAGACTGGGCGGTTGGAGGTGTAGGCACCTCAGAATGCTTGACATAGGCCATCACTAGGTCCCCTCCTTCAACAGTTCTTTTTCTCTTCTTTTCACCCTAGGGCTTTTAATATAATTATATAAATAAATATATATAACTAGATTAACCTTATGGTTGTACGGTAGTGAAGCATCAGTGCTAACACTGATGTTGCTGTCTTTGATGATGATAATGAACTCCGGTAGTTCATGTAAAACGAATCACTGAGGGGTTTCAGGTGTTTTCTTTTCGAATGTGGTACACAGCAAGCACACTTGCATGAGAGTAGGGAAGCCAGTGGCAGTACAATCTCGCCAGTCGATCTTCATTACTTCAGTGCTACTAAATAATATTCGTGAATTAGAATTGCTTGGTAAACGGCCATCCTAAGCAGGATGAAACAGGGAAGCAAGTGCTTACTGGGTCAGACGATGACACGTACATTATGGCGCCTAAAGCAGGTCAGTTAACTTGCTGTTCTTGCTGATATGTGCCCACAATGGCAGCGATTGTAGGTCTATGACGATGGAAAACGCGTGGCGGTGCTGGACACAGTGGAAACACTGAGCATGCATGCTTAGCGTCCGTTGAATTGCCCAAACAGCATAGGGTGGCGCGTGGTAAACAGCATCATCCATATCCCCTTTCTGCCTGGCCGAATTGGTTTTTCACCATTTCCATAAATCTGCTTAGATGGTCGACTAGCGCAGGATCTGAGATCGATCGTATTGTTGACTGGGCTCTAGGTTAAACTCTGGTTAAGCTGCGAACCTATTGACCCGAAGGTCCATGGTTCGAACGCTTAGGCTTGGGCAACCTGGCTGTATCTCAGCCCTCATGCTTCCTGGTGATGGTATGGCAACTAGGCATCGAAACATTACTTCATTCCCTCTACCAGCTTACTTTTCTCAGCATGCCACATCAAGGATTGTGTTAGCTTTAGCCAACCTTTCAATGGGACAAGAAAGCTTTGCCACAACTGTATTCATGGAACGACCTATGAATTACCAACAAAGTTAGGCTAGGATATTCGTGACGCGGTGAAAAGTACGTATCTAAGATGGCACGCCTCACATTAGCCCTTATTCTGATCAACCAGGGCATGTTCTGTGATTCATGGTGGTTTGCCATACATTTCTGTCCAGTTCACGTGATGTTCGATTATTCCAAGCGGTCCGTCTCTAAACATCTGACAGACAAGCGCGGAAGTTTGAAAGACCTTGAGCGTGCGTGTCCGCTTCACCCAGCAAACCGAGAATCAATTAAATGATGGACTATTTCAGTGATTCATCCACCTGTCGTACATTCTGATTAACATGATTTGTTTTTTGGACATGTAAACTACCGGTTATGCGAAGAATGGCAAAATTTGTATCATTTTTGGATGGAGTGCAGGGGAAATTTGGTCGGAGTTCCCCAGTTTTTCTGGACGCGGACGGTGTTATGGGCATGATTATAGCTTGTAGAACATGTAAACGGTCGTCCTAGCGTTCACATTGTAGGAAATTCCACTACGACCCCAGGATTTGATGGTTCCTGTTCTCCCTTTCTATTAATTCTTCCGAAGGTACAGGTTTTTGTATGCTAGCTCGGGAGAGAAGATATTTCCACTGTACAGTTGGACGGGTTGACGAAATTCTCCCTGATCTTTTGATTTTACTCGGGGGATGGCTGACGTCTTCGTTCTGCCGGATGGACATTTACTACAGCCAACTGTTCGATATACTTGGCTTTTTTTCGCACACATTTTGTATTAGCTCATCAGTGCCAAATTTTCAATTACACAAATACCCTGAGAGAAAGTGTCGTGTCGAAACTGCCTGTGACGGCCTACCCGGAACGATTGCATTCATAGAACCCTCCTTCAAAGGGCCTAGTTCAACTCTAGTGTCAGCACAAAAAAGGATGAACAATGCGGTCGAGATCTGTTCCATAAACTTGGTTACCATCACTTTCGAATAAGGGAGAGAAATCTACTGTTGGGCCTAAGTCCCACTGCATTTATCAGTTCGCATGTTAGTCTGGAGAAATTTACCTAGACAGAACCGATAGATGTCTGAATTCCAGAAGGGATCAGGCTTTACTTTGGATCCTGGACTAAAAGGTCAGAACCTTTGCCCGATCGTATGTGATACTGCAGCAAACGGTCAACATCTTGTGATAACAAATTACCAAGTTGAGTTGGTCTCAGGATTCACCATTCTGATCAGTCATCAGAACTCATGGGTTCTCTAATTCGATACAGTCAATCAATTCCAATCTTTATCGCGTATCCAAAAGTAATTCGATTAGACCCCTAGGTTACCCTGTACTTGTATGCAGTTCTTTTTTACGTGGCTGACCAGTCCGTTGCCATGTGACCGAGTCCTGTTTTGTATAGACCATAAAAATGTCCTTGTTGTTGGTACTTTGGTGCTGTTGAACCAACACCAAATGTGTGCATCCGTGTCGTGTGGGCGAAATGGTTCAAGTGGTTAGAGCGCGAATTTACTGACCGGAAGGTCCGTGGTTCGAACCCGACCTTCGCCTCTCGACTTCCCCCGCCTAGGCTTGGGTGACCTGGCAGTATCCCAGCCCTCTTGCTTCTTTCGGGTAGCCTGGCAGCTAGGCACCGGAAGGATGTTACAGCTGAAAGATTTTTTGTGTGTCGTTGAACCTACTGGAGGGACATAATCGGTACAGGTTTGTTCCGACCAGTCCGAAGATGTTAGGAGTATGATGTCGTCGTTGGAGGTGTCACGCATCGCTTCCTTCGATAGAATAACAACTGACGCTGAAGTCTGTGCTCTCTCCCTCTCTCCACTAAGACAAACTGATCTGGGGTCGCTACTTTCCTGTCACTGTATCTTTTTCTTCACCCCCCATTGTAGGGCTGCGGCAAACGATTTTCCCTGGATTTCAACCTGCGTACTCATCTGCGCATCCATACGGGTGACCGGCCGTATCCGTGCCCGCAGCCCGGATGTAGCAAACGGTTCGCCCAGTCTACCAATCTGAAATCCCATCTGGCAACTCACACCAAACTCCGTGTCGCAATCTCCACAACAGCGATCATTGGTCGTCCTTCTCTGCATCACCACCAACTTTCACGATCCCGACAGCGAGCTCTACCGACAGGGTTCGAGATAAACGCGCCGGAGGCATTAGGCGAACGAATTAGTCTCAGCAATAGTGGTCCGTTTTCTCGCCTACAATCGTTGCACACCGCCAATTCACCTTTGCTTGCCGGAAATGAATCAACGTGAGTTTATGGCATACTTGGGTGTATTTGTTTCATCCGGTTCCTGAAAGACTAGCGTGTGTTAGTTTTGCTTTTTCGCTGGGTCACACGAAGGAAATCGGGTTTTGTTCGAAAACAATTTACAAGACGGTTATTCTTCCCTGGGGGCGAGTTGGACCAAGTGGTTGAGCGCAAATTTTACTGACCGGAAGGTCCGTGGTTCGAACCAGACCTCTGCCTCTCGACTTCCCCTGTCTAGGCTTGGGCAACCTGGCAGTATCCCAGCCCTCGTGCAACCTTCGGGTGGCATGGTAGCTAGGCACCGAAAGGGTGCTACAGCTGAACGGTCAATATTTTCGCTGCAGTTTAATTATTCAGCCACCAACTGCATAGTTAAAGAACATTCGTTTTAACGGAGAAACTAAGGGTAGGTTACTCGTGCATTAGGGTTGAGGACTCAGCCGATTCAGGCATATCATTCACTTCCCAACCGACGCACAAAGACCCATAGCATTGATACAGGAGCACCACTTCGTGGTCGGGCGATGTCTGCGATTGTTGCCAGTCTTCCTCATGCCGAGAAGATGGCAGTTGCCAGTGAGCGAAATGGCGAGGTTGGGCGCGATTTTACTGACCAGGAGCTCCATGGTTCGAACCCGACCTTTACTTCTCGACTTCCCCTGTCTAGGCCTGGGCAACGTGGCAATACTCTAACCCTCATGCTTCCTCCGGGTGGCATGGCAGCTAGGCACCGAACGGCTGCTACAGCCGAACGATGATTATTGTTAGCTGGTCATCGATTCCACACTTCGTTATCAAGTCGTAGACTGACCACCGTTGATCACTGCCACGCAGTGGGCCACTGGACGGGGTGACATTCGAAACAGACGACCTTACCAGCGTGACCACATTTCAACTACAACGTGTTCGGATGGTGCAGTTCACGTATCTCCACCCAACTTCCCGTCTAAGTTCAGTTCAGTCCGTATTCCTTCCCGCATTCTAGAAGGCATCGACAGAACTCGGTTTCACGCTGAATGTAACGTAGAGTAGTGATCGAATTATGACTAATTATTACGGAACTACATTCATTTGCATACCTGTTTGGTTTTGACGGCGACTCACCTGGAACCCAGCTGAATTCCTCGTTTGGGGTGTTGTAAAGCAATCTTGTGCAGTGTATTACGTCTGTACAGACAACCATCTTCTGGGGTACCGAATTTTCCTCTTCGTGGAAGATTTGGGAATTTCTACTGGAGATTTCGTCCTTTAAGACTGAAAAGCCGAGAAGCGATATGCAGCTGTTTAATCTTTATTGGGCTTCATTTACTGGGCGAAATCTCCACTGGAAATTACCAGATCCCACATATCCAACTAATTCAAAGGGAAAACCAATTCAATTGTCCGTCCGAAAAGTTGTCACTCGAGGAGCCAGTTATCACGTGACCTCATGATATGTATTCCGTGATATATGAGATGAGCTGATCGCACTACTGATCAGCCGCTCGTGGCGGGGTGTTTGTGTTCAAACTACCGGCCTGCAGGTTGTGGGTTCGTGAGATGGGCACTGCTGAAGATTCCCAGTAAGGATAAAACGACTGTAGACTGCCTCCCGGCTTTTCAGTATACGTTGATTTCTCTTGTTTTACGTTTATACCTACTAATGTTCCGTCCTTACATTGGATTTACTGGCTCCCACACGTTGGTGCATCTGGGTCGGCCCAAATGGTACCTGTCAGTCCTGTTATACCCGGGGATTCATTTGCATAACCACCGTAGACAGGTGGATTCGCATCAGATGCCAGTTAGCCAGTGTATCCACCCTATGAGCCTTCCTACTGATCCACAGTTCCTGCCACTCCTGTCATTACCAGCATATAAGGTATGAGGAATATGCAATTTAACACTTCGTGGAAGGAGAGCACGCATGTCCCCTCTAGAAGCACTCTCTGGTCCCCACAGTGGAAATGTCGTCACTAACCCAACCCCCTGACTGAACTGATCTCACTTTATATTTTAATTGAGTCAGAATACGTGTACAGCATTTTTCGATGGAGCGTGGCACAGTTAGGGTTGGACTGAGAGAGTAGTGGGGTCAGGACGCGGAACGAGGGGCGAGATGGACCAAGTGGTTAGAGCGCGAATTTACTGACCGGAAGGTCCGCGGTTCGAACCCGACCTCTGCCACTCGAATTCCCCTGTCTGGGCTTGGGCAACCTGGCAGTATCGCAGCCCTCGCGTCTCCTTCATGTGGCATAGCAGCTAGACACCGAAAGGGTGCTACAGCTGGACGATTTTTTTTACGCGGAAAGAAACGAAACGCATAACTAGTTGACTCTTATTGGGACCCAAACAGAAGAGGGGCACTTTTGTGATAAATCACTTTTTATTCGGCTCTTATAACTAGTTGAAAAGACAGCCGTTCATGATGACGCGAACACAGCAGTCATCACGTCGCATTACTGTGCATCGGTTGCTTTGGGCGTCTGGTTGTTGTCGTCGTTTAGGACATTAACGTCAGTCGAAACCAACCAACAATTACATCGCCTACTCCCAGAAACTGCTCGAAACATTCGGATATAGTCACAGTGCGGATCGTTTGCTGTTTCTCAACAGACGGGCATCTCCTCTTAGGGTACATTTCGGCATTCTCTGGAGTGGTTTCCCCGAGGCAGGGTGTAATAACAGTATTTTTTCAGTTTAATTCTCAGTTTAAATCTTTCGAGCTAGCGTTCCTGTCAAAACAACCACCAAAGGTGCACAAATTTCAGTAACGCACAAAACCAGGTCAAAAACACGTACAGTGCATGTTTTATAAAGTATATGCGACGACACCCTTCTGGAAACCCTGACGCTTTCTGGACGCGCCATTGGCAATCGGCATTTACTGGACCATGATTGACTGTTGGGTCCTGACTTTCGACCAGTCGGAGCTCGCCTTGATGCTGGCCTGGCAAGCGGCCCCACCTTTTGGCTAATAGCGTGCGGGACAGGCTTCTTGGCTGTAGCAGCGCCTAAATGCGAGCGGTAAGGCGGTATCGGTGTGGAATTCTGCATAACACCTTCCCTTTGAAGATTGTTGACGTAACTTCGAAGTCGGGGTTTTACTTGGTGTGACCTCACTGGCTCGCGAATCCTGTCTGTCCAGCGTCGCGGTCGTAATGCGTGCTCGGACTGGGCCTCCGATGGTGCCGAGATCAAAATTGTCCAGAAGGATCTCTACACTCAACTTACTCTCCCCGATGGGTAGGATCTGCGCGTTTGTCAGCTGGTGTGCGTGCCGGATCTACCTGGCTGTGCCAACTTGAGACCCATGGAGCACTTTGCCGCGCTCGCAAAATGTGTCCTGGAATCCACTTAGGATGTTTGCCGCTGTGGTCGCGGACCAACACTCTTGTTCGCTGAAGAAGCGCGTCGTCACGCCATGATACCGATTGAGCTGGTTCCCCATTCTCCAGTTGTGGTGACTCAATCGCCTTCTCAGTGGCCGGATATTGCCTCGCGGTGTTCGAAACTTCCTTCGAAGCAGTGCATCTGCTGGTAACACTCCATCCGGCGAGTTGGGGTTCGGCGTCGCTTGATATGCCGGCAGGAATCCTTGCAAAATATTTTCCGTCTGTATTTCTTTTCTGGACGCTTCAATGTCAGCGAAGCGTTCCGCTTGGCTGTTCGATTATGGATAAAACGGCGGCGAGCTAACAGGAGTTATGCCATACTCCCGACAAAACTCTACGAACGCCGACGACTTGAACTGACTCGTTACCGGATACAATAGTTTCTGGTGTTTCAAAGCGACTGAACAATCGTCGGAGTTCCAAGATTGTGGTGACTATTGTGGAGCTGTCCATTGGAAGAATTTCCGGCCATTTGCTTTAGGCGTCGACCACGACCGAAAAGTGTTGGCCACCAACTAGACTTGCATAGTCGATATGAAGATGAGACAAGGGTTCGGTCGTTTGGGGTCACGACTTTAGGTAGGCTTTCACGGGTGACTTGGATGTTTCATCACAACACAGACAAGATTTGGAGAATTGCTTAATCTGGGAATCCATCAAAGGCCAGTAGGCGTAACCACAAGCAAGGGCCTGTTTGTTACCGCGTGTCATTTATGAAACTGATTCAGGATGGCAACGCGTTTTGAGGATAAAAAACATCCGTCAGCTAGTGATAATGTGTCACGCTGGTTAAAGTAAGGTCTGAATTCCTATTTTGGGCAAGTACGCGGCTGTTTATCAGTTCAGTCGTCATCTAATGGTTCTGATTGTTTGTTTTTCGCTTAACCCATAAACCTACGCCGGTAACAATCTGCACTGACATTGCGGTACTTCTTAGGGGAGCCAATAATCTGAGGGGATTGCGATGGGTGGGATGTTCCTCATTTAAATGGTACTCTAATGCATGTCTCGGTGTGTCTTCTTACTCTCAGGCGCAGTTTTGCTTGGGCGAAGTTGGGGCAGCCGGTACTCGATGACCTAGTACCACAATAGAACAGTTTGGTTCTCGCGGCGTATCACCAACACTTGTCTTTGGTGACTCCCGGATTCGGTGTCGGGGCACCCTACTTTTGGCAGTAACCGCTTGGCTGTGACAGCCCTTGAGTGGACGGCTGCCTTGCACCCTGATGGAGCTAGCTTAGTCGCATGTCCACCGAACAGAGGGGATCGAAGACCCAGCACAGGTCCAACCTTTGAGCTGTGTTGGCGCCTTATTCCATTTGCGTTCATCCGAGCACAAAGCAAGAGTGCTACTTAATGTGGAGCTTTTCCACTCAGCATTATAACATTATCATCTGACCTCTAGTACAGATTTTGTCACATACGAAAGGATACACTGTGTAGTTGACACACCATTCTTTTTTTCCATCCAGGTATTCTTCTGATGGAGTCAATACGGTCTCTGAAACTTACTGGCAAACACTACCAACGACGGTTTCCTCTGTGGGTCCTCCCGACTCGTTGTCCGACTCTGGACTTTCTTTATCACCTTCGTCATCGTCTACCTCACCATCAGGACTAAACAGTCCCATCTCAACTGCACTCAGGCTGTCGCCCATCAGAATGTGTACGTCTCCTCTGCCTTTCAGACAAAAGTCCATTTCAATCGCGTTCCAACGAGACCCTAATGTGGAAGTGAAACATGAGTCGAAAGTTTTGAAGCCTATTTCATCCTCCGACGCTGATTTGGATAACACTTTCGATAAACCGGAAAATACAGACCAGCTACCTGATGGAACACCTTGTGAGCCCGATTGGACACTTTTCGGCCCGGAGCTCGTGCTCAGCCAAGATAGTCCTGTCTCTCAGCTTACTGCTCACACGAGCTCTAGCCCACCGAACAGTGACCAGCAGCCAACTCCTCGTGTTGACACAGACTCGCCATGTGAAGCAGGAACCGACACCTCGTCACCCTCAGCAACGCGACCTACGCATCCACTTTGCCCACTAGTTTCCTACCGACCTGTGACGCGTATGCGGCTTTCCGGGACTTTCTCCATCTTGACGCACAGACACTCCCGTCCCTTATCCAAGGCCTAAATAATCAACAGCAGCAACGTGTATGGTGAATTCAGGTATCCCTACGACTGCCCACCTACTGGATCTTTTCTTACTGTGATTTTTTTTCGTGAAGTCCGTTGACTATCATACTACTTTGTCTCCTCCCATGGTCTTCACGTAAACGACACAGGAGGCTCTAGCTTCACTCGGTCGCCATGTACGCTTATTTCTGAGCTTAGTAGTATGTTAGTTTTTTGCTCGCTCTCTCGCTCGCCCGCCCTCTTCGTTAATCGTTGTTGTTTTTATTGTCTGTCTTTCTATTCGTGCCAACCATTTGCTGTCCCATATTCACAAACACCTAGGTGTCATGACTTTTCCATACTCAATGCATTTTACACTTATCAAGTTGACCTGTTTCTTCGCGCCCCCCCCCCGACGATGGTGATGATTTGATTAGCATGCATAGTGCAATACTCCTTACCTCATTCACATATTTACCCATATTTACTTTCTCGTGTTGATTGATTATTTTAGTTGGTTCTTCTCATATTACTTACCCTAGTCTGTTTTGTGCAATACCTCCCCCCTCATCGCTCTCAAATCTCTTGTTTCTGTCCCATTCCATCTTAGCCTGTATCAGCTAACAAGACTGGTCTATCAAGAACGTCCTAGGCATTCCTTCCTCCCGATACCGACTACTCCTAGAACTAATTCCCGTGGCGCCCAAGATCACGGTGAATGACTTGGTCGATATTATCTTTTCTGTGTTTTCGCTCTATTATCGAAGCCGTTCTCTTTTACTACCGTTCGGTACTTTCCAGTAGACTAGTGTTCGCTCGAACACTGTGGTCTGATTGCTAATACTAATGGAATGCATTGTTAATTTTCATCAGTGTCTGCGGTCCTGTTGTGTTGATCGGGCAGTTGCTACTTGTTTATCGCATGATCATTTCGCGCTCTTCGTGGTAATCCCGGCACATTTTAGCCGGAGTGAGTCTTGTATTCCGGTACGCTTTGTACTTATGACTGATCTTGAGACGTGATGCGACGACCGAACAACCTTACGTATCGTCTAGTCTAGCATAAATTGTCCCTTAGAAAGCCGCGGATAAACTGTTTCCCCATGCAGCGATTTATCCAGAAAATACTCCCAGAAGAGAGGCTACGGTAGGCGGTCCGCGCTGGATTCCTGTGAAGTCCCCTATCTGTACGGGGGGGGGGCATCCGACCTCCCGAGGTTACGAAGTTTGATTCCATGGGGAGTGATCGATCGCCCAACTAAGAAAGGTACTGGCTATAACTGTCTGTAGATATTTCGGAAAATCTCCAAGCAATCTCGTTAGCCTGGATGAAAACTATATGCGTGGTAAGTAGCAAAGTGTGATGGGAGTTGAGTCCAGAGGTTATACAGAATGAAGCGACGTCGACAGGTAAGACAGCAGTCTATTTGAAGGTATGTACGGTCCATGTCAGCAGTGTTCCCACACAAATCCACGATGGGTGCGAAGCTTGCGCACGGGTACTGTGGGCATGTTTTTTCGGTCGCGTTGAAAGTTTCATAAACTCCTTTGGTTAGCGACTAAATCTCCGACAGTGCCTATCAAACTACATGGTTTCAGCCGCATCTTACTTGCAATCATGCTAAATTTGGACATGTTGGCGGTATTGCGGGGTGCGTTTAATCACCAGGATCTGGTTGGTTGAATCTCTGTTGAACTCGGTATCACTTGAACAGTACCACAGTATTCTTATGAGTTTTTGGTGGGAAGTCACTTGCACAATTTGGCAAGCAAATCACAAGACCGATTCGCTCTTTATCCACCCAAAAACGTCTTAACCCACCACATTCATCATCCAACGTACCGATTACATAATGATCCCTCAAGCTTGTTGGTCGGAACTTTAAACGTCAACATCCGGTGAGGCCAGTTTTACTCCAAACACACTGAGCTCGTTTTATTTGCTGGTCCGTTTAGCTACATGATTCCGTAACTGCATGAGTCTGTTTGCAGTACTAGTTAGCCTCGAGATGACTGAAGTGGTTAGAGCGCAAATTTACTGACCAGAAGGTCTGTGGTTCGAACCCGACCTCTGCCTCTCGACTTCCTTTGTCTAGGCGTGGGCAACCTGGCAGCATCCTAGCCCCCGTGCTTTCTTCGGATGACTATGGGCAGATACCATGTAGGAGCCGCATGGGGAACAACTTACCCAGAGGCTGCATCTATACACGTCGCTTTGTAGCCTTCGGTATTCGCAACCTTCAGACGGCTTGGCGGCTGCTCATTAGTCCACAGACGAATTCTTTCGAGGTACCTCCATAACTTAGTTCTTTTGGGACGGATAGGATGCGGCAGCGTACAGATGGTTGTTTTCCGTTTGTCCAATCGCTTAAAGCTTTGCTCATTGGGGTTGCGTCAACATGTGTGTTCGACAACTGCATCCGAGTAAAAGTTCAGTATGACTCACTTAACCTTGGTTATCGTTCAGTGACACATATATATATATATATATATAACTGTATTAAAAGCCCTACAGTGAAGAGAAGAGAAAAAGAGTGGGTGAGGGAGGGGACCTAGTGCTGGCCTATGTCAAGCATACTGAGGTGCCTACACCCCCAACAGCTCAGTCAAGCAATCTGGAAAGAAACCAACAGCACGAACGCCACTGATATCAATTCGCCGCCATTTCTTGCAGCGTCTCCATCCAAGCACAGACGGGGTCACGGGGACTGGAAGTCGCACAACACCAACAGCACCCAAACTCTTCGTGATCCCTTTCACGCCTTTCTGCCAAGTTGTGCTGTCCACCTCGCGGTTTGCGCCAACCTGAAGGAGGCACGGAGAACAACACGTCTCGGTAGACGATCTTTCGGCATGCGTGGCACATGACCGAGCCATCGCAGTCGATGATGCTGGGTATTTTCTCGGATTGAGGTGCCTGCAGCACAACCAAATACCCGTCTTCTAATCGCCTCGTTCATGTCATGGAGCTCTTCCTAAACAGTGACGAGTGGGTTCCTCATTCAACTTGTTGTCGGTATAATGAGGAAAACTAACAAGGCGGTGCTAGCAACTGTGCTGGACACAGCTGAGCCAAAATCCTTCTACCGATGATACATCACAGCGTTACGTATTCTCGAAAATTGTTCGTTACTAGCTGGTGGATAAAGCCATGAAGTGACTTGTTTCATCCAATCTCCGCAACCATGCGCTCAAGATCAGTATACCCCATGGCTGCATTGATGTTGCACCTTGAACCCTGTCAGTGCGGGTTATGTCATTGATCAATTGAAAAAAACCAATTTACCAGGCGGCAATGGCGGCGACAGTTCTTCATTTTGGAGCTCGGTCAACAATGTATTGTGTGTATTGTTTTGGTTTTCGCCCAGTTGGTGGGCAATTTTTTGTTCATTCAGTCACGGGAATGTGGTGACTTTGGGAAGAAAACTCGATGGTGAAACCTTAATACCGTGATGTGAAAGCCAGAGCTTGGGGTGGCTCAGTGGTTAGGGCGCGAACTTACTGACCGGATGATCTGTGTTTCGAACCCAACCCCGGCATATCGACTGCTGCTGTCCAGGTTTGAGCAACCTGGCATGGTTTCAGCCCTCGTGCTTCCTTCAAGAGGCATTGCAGCTAAGAGCCGAAGAGGTGTTGCAACTGACTTTTCATTACTTCCTTTTCAATGGTTTTGCTGTAGTTCATCGGTTTGGGCGTTGGTAAACCTGTTACAGCCGGTCGTCGTGGAATACTTCTCTCTGCCGCTAGTGTTTTTTTAGGTTGCAACAGTCCCGAATCAGAATAGGCCTTCGACTAATTCATCTTGGAGTGGTGGATAATACGCAACTTATTGGCAGTTAATGATCGGTTCTCCAATGATACATTGGAGATGCATTGGTTGTCGATGAATAGATCGACAACCAAGCGATCAACTACCAATAAATGCACCTGAGCTACAAATATCTCAACTCTACCCATAGGTAAATTACTTTCGCGCGATGGATTTGTACTTGGTGTTTGGGTTAGAGTAATCTGAGCCGGATTCGACTGCCTTACAAAGCCCCCACGCATACTCTTGTGAGGATAAACAATACCCCTGTTGAGCTCGAAATGGTCCAGTGGTTGAAGCACGTATTTACTGACCGGAAGGTCCTTGGTTCGAACCCCATCTCTGCATCTCGACTTTTCCTGTCTAGGCTTGGGTAACCTGGCGGTATCTTGGCCCTAGTGCTTCCTTCGGATGGCATGACAGCTAGGCACCGGAAGGGTAGCTACAGCTGAACTATTATTATTGATACGAGCATATATCGATCCACTGGACACAGCAGCGCCTCCACTCTAGTGCCACCAGCGCTCCCCACAACTAAACGTTACTCTCGCCAATTCGATAATCTGTCAACCTTCATGTCAGAAGTGTCGCACTGGACACAGCATCGCCCACTGGCACTTACCAGTGTGGTGCCAACGTGGTGTTCGGTTATCTGCATTCCGTGATATTCGAAGCAGATTGACACTAGCAATTTACACCCAATTTACAATTCCAGTGTAGAGCTGTCGTGTCCATCATCACCAGTCAGTTTATCGCTCACCTGTTCATCGATCGAGCAAACGCCCTTGTTACACATTTCCACGGTCAAATTAAACGCAAGAAACGTCCAGGACACGTCCAGTTATCTGGATAAGTTCGGTTTCCCTTTTTCAGTTTCGTCTATCACCGTTCGGAGATATATTTTGAAGTTTCATGGGACAGAATTCTGGTGACCCGAAGACCAATTGAAGGCAAGAGAGGCTCCGGATATTCGAAAATCCCGTTGTGATAGCCGGCAGTTAAATTTTCTGGAAAGAAAATTCTCCAAAACCCTTTAGTCACTTATCGGGAAATGTTCTCAAAACCTAGTTCGTTGCTGTTGACATATCCGTGCCATCGTTGAAGACATCACTGTAGGTGATTTTCTGTTTTACGGTGAACGGCCCCGTGCTCTATGGATCAGAATCAAACGATGTTGGAAGATGTTTTTGTCGGGAATGCGGCTAGGTTGAGGCGAATCTGCAAACGGAAGGCTGACGGAAACTCGGGGACTACGACCACCTGGTGAGCCAGAAGCGGGACGAAGCTGGTCGCAGGCTCTAGAGGAGTTTTCAACAAACCTAATAATTGCTTTCGTTCAAGGACTATTTGCTCGTTGAAACGACCTCACTGAGCTAGTCGCGGTTTCATCATTCTGCATAACAATGCTTCATGGTACTTCTGTTTCTTGCCCCGGGCTGTCGATAGGGGGGGGGGAACCTTGGAAGCATTGTGGATAATGTAAACTTGCAGAGAACTCACTTGAGTTATCGTTCAACACAGTTTATCACAAAACTTCACATAGTGCTACAAGAGCAAAAAAATTGTCCGAAATTTATGCGAACAATACGGCTGTGCTGAATTGACCACTGTTAATCCAGAAGTGTACCCGTTTTTGTTTCTTCATCTCAGGAATACGAAGCATGAACGATAGCACTATTAAATTTATCCAGCAAGGCCCAGAGCCGTTGGAGGACGCAAATATTTTCGACACGTACAGCAAACGAACTGCGTGAAATACGCATGGGGAAGAGAAATTTGGAGTGCAAAGGCGTCAAATGTATGCAAAGTTCTTTGTCAGCCACATGTTGTAGAATGATTTCTCATCCATGGTAGAGTGCGATCTCAATTTCTCTTCATCTGGCTAGAAGAAAGTACGGATGGCAACCACCATCGCGATTACATAGAGAGACCATGTGCCAGCAGATCGGGATGAGCGACATACCACTGTTTGAAGGGAAAAATAAAGAAACGT